TAGTATTTATATAGTGCTGTCAATTTACACAGTGCTTTACATACTGAACATTCACATCAGTCTCTGACTTAAAGAAGCTTACAATGTAAATGACCTAATTCACATGCATACATACATACATACATACATACATACATACATACATACATACACATACTATGGCCAATTTAGACAGGAGCCAGTTATCCTAATAGGATCATCCCCATCCTGGTCACTGTAAACGATCAGGAGGTGGTGGGACAGGCTTATGATCATGTGATCACTATGGTAGCCAATCACAAGCCCACATGATCGTGCCTCGTGACATTAAACCTCAGTTAGGGGGCTGGCGGGAAACATAGTCCAGAGGGGTGTTCAGTTCCTTAGCCAAGCGCTGAGTAGCTGTTCTGCAGCACTTCAGTTCACTGCTGCAGCTTCAATTAACGCTTCGGCTGCACAATGCTAAGCACAATGGCGGAGGATAATATTTTTGACTAATAAATACCATTTTCCAACGAATATATTTGGTGTGCTCGTCCACCAAAACATTACATTGCAGGTTCCCACACGGAATTGATTTCCTCCATTGGGGTTCAGACACCTTTCTCCAGCACTGCCAGGTGTGCCCACAGTTAATATGGCCGCTGGTACTCTGTCCCCACCTTATCCGTCACACTCAGCGCTCTGCATCCACATTCACTTCCGCTGCGAGTGCTAAGTTAGCGGTGCTGAGCAATAACTTGCAGCACAGTGTTCAACAGAGGTTTATTAACTCAGCACTCACAGCAGCTGAGCAACGGAACGCGCCTCTGATCATGTAACCAATACGATTGGCTGTCATAGTGGTCACATAATTGTGAGCCCGCCTCACCATCTCTCAATAGTTTACGGCCACTAGGAGCTGTCTGTAACAGCCAATCACAGCAGTCACATGATCAAGAATCAGAATCTGTCACGACCCATGACAGGCTAATCCCGTCATGAATCCTCAAGGGGTTAAACAGACTCCCGGCTGTACTCTGTTCATACTTGTAGAGCCAGCGGCCGGCTTTACAATAGAAGCGGTTCTGGCGACTCAGCTGTCGCCACATCGCTTCTGCGATTCAGTAAAGTGGCCGCCCCAACACCCCAGCCGCTGCCCCTCCTACGGGCCCGGGACCGGCATCTCAGGTGTCGGTGGGAAGCTGGGGAGGAGAGCGGTGATGTCAGTTCACCGCTCTCCTCCCCGTTCTATGGGGCCGGGAGCAACACATGTTGCATCACTGCCGGTCCCATAGCTGTCAGTGCTTCGCTCCTGCAGCCCAGCTATAAGCTATAGAAGTGCGATCTGCACTTCAGTAGCTTATTTAGAGTGTAAAGGTGACACTATCTGTCTTTTAAACCCCCAGCATCACCTTAAATTTTAATGACACAAGCTGAGCACCTTTATGGGATGTAGTGCGATGTCCGGGATACAATCTGTGCTCAGGATCTGTCCCGAGACGCAGGGAATGTATGGATGTGCTGGAACTAATATCTCAGTGTAAACGAGGCCTTAGCCCTCGTTCACACCTGACCGTTTTGTAGGGCGTTCTACGCTCGACGAACGCTCTACAAAACGGTCAAAAATATAAATAGCATTGTAGTCAATGCCCTCGTTCCCACCCAGGCGTATTTCCGCCCGTCCCTAACGCCCTACAAAACGGCCCACGCCTGAAAAGGTCCCGGGACTACTTTGGGCCGTTTTGTAGGGCGTTTTCCATTGGGATAAGCCAAGTAGCCTTCGGAATCGCGGTAAAAAAACCGTGCGACGGTCGCGCGACAGACGCGCATATTACAATACGCCTAGGTGTGAATGGGGCCTAAAAATGTTTACACTTCACAGATCAATTTCTCCAACACAGGAGATCCTGGCTGGATGCTAAAGGCAACACAAACACATTCTCTGCCAGCCCATGAGTAAGCAATGCAATGCAGGTGAAGGTATATGTGGTACATGTGAAGGTATATGTGGTGCAAGTGAAGGCATGTGTGGTGCAAGTGAAGGCATGTGTGGTGCAAGTGAAGGTATTGCACCACAAGGTACATGTGGTGCAAGTGAAGGCATGTGTGGTGCAAGTGAAGGCATGTGTGGTGCAAGTGAAGACATGTGTGGTGCAAGTGAAGGTATATGTGGTGCAAGTGTAAGTATCTGTGGTACATGTGAGGGTATATGTGGTGCAAGTGAAGGTATATGTGGTACATGTGAAGGTATATGTGGTACATGTGAAGGTATATGTGGTACATGTGAAGGTATATGTGGTACATGTGAAGGCATGTGTGGTGCAGGTGAAGTTATGTGTAGTACAGGTAAAGGTATATGTGGTGCAAGTGAAGGTATGTGCAGTGCAAGTAAAGGTATATGTGGTGCAAGTGAAAGTATATGTGTAGTACAGGTGAAGGTATATGTGGTGCAAGTGAAGGTATGCGTGGTACAGGTGAAGGTATGCGTGGTACAGGTGATGATGTGTGTTGCATGTGAAGGTATGTGTGGTACAGGTGAAGGTATGTGTGGTACATGTGAAGGTATGTATAGTACATGTGAAGTTATATGTAGTACAGATGAAGGTATGCGTGGCACAGGTGAAGGTATGCGTGGTACAGGTGATGATATGTGTGGTGCATGTGAAGGTATGTGTGGTACAGGTGAAGGTATGTGTGGTACATGTGAAGGTATGTATAGTACATGTGAAGTTATATGTGGTACAGGTGAAGGTATGTGTGGTACATGTGAAGGTATAGTACATGTGAAGGTATATGTGGTGCAAGTGAAGGCATGTGTACTACAAGTAAAAGTAAGTGTGCTACAGGTGCATGTATGTACGGTGCAGAGAAAGGTATGTGATGTGCAGGTGAAGGTGTGTGTAGTACAGATGAAGGTGTGTGTGGTGCAGGTGAAAGTATGTGTAATACAGGTAGAGCTATGTGCTGTAGAGGTAAAGTTATGTGTGGCGCAGGTGGATGTATGTGTGGCGCAGGTGGATGTATGTGTGGTGCAGGTAGAGGTACATGTGGCCTAGGTAGTGCAGGTGAAGGTATGTGTGGTAAAGGTATTTGCGGTACAGGTGATGGTATTTGTAGTACAGGTAAAGGTAGGTGTGGTTGTACATGGGAAGGATGTGCGGTGCAGGTAAAGGAATGTGTAGTATGGGTGAAGGATGTGTGGTGCAGGTGATGGGATGTGTGGTGCAGGTGATGGGATGTGTAGTGCAGGTGATGGGATGTGTAGTGCAGGAGATGGGATGTGTAGTGCAGGTGATGGGATGTGCAGTGCAGGTGATGGGATGTGTAGTGCAGGAGATGGGATGTGTAGTGCAGGTGATGGGATGTGCAGTGCAGGTGATGGGATGTGTAGTGCAGGAGATGGGATGTGTAGTGCAGGTGATGGGATGTGCAGTGCAGGTGATGGGATGTGTAGTGCAGGAGATGGGATGTGTAGTGCAGGTGATGGGATGTGCAGTGCAGGTGATGGGATGTGTAGTGCAGGAGATGGGATGTGTAGTGCAGGTGATGGGATGTGCAGTGCAGGTGATGGGATGTGTAGTGCAGGAGATGGGATGTGTAGTGCAGGTGATGGGATGTGCAGTGCAGGTGATGGGATGTGTAGTGCAGGAGATGGGATGTGTAGTGCAGGTGATGGGATGTGCAGTGCAGGTGATGGGATGTGTAGTGCAGGAGATGGGATGTGTAGTGCAGGTGATGGGATGTGCAGTGCAGGTGATGGGATGTGTAGTGCAGGAGATGGGATGTGTAGTGCAGGTGATGGGATGTGCAGTGCAGGTGATGGGATGTGTAGTGCAGGAGATGGGATGTGTAGTGCAGGTGATGGGATGTGCAGTGCAGGTGATGGGATGTGTAGTGCAGGAGATGGGATGTGTAGTGCAGGTGATGGGATGTGCAGTGCAGGTGATGGGATGTGTAGTGCAGGAGATGGGATGTGTAGTGCAGGTGATGGGATGTGCAGTGCAGGTGATGGGATGTGTAGTGCAGGAGATGGGATGTGTAGTGCAGGTGATGGGATGTGCAGTGCAGGTGATGGGATGTGTAGTGCAGGAGATGGGATGTGTAGTGCAGGTGATGGGATGTGCAGTGCAGGTGATGGGATGTGTAGTGCAGGAGATGGGATGTGTAGTGCAGGTGATGGGATGTGCAGTGCAGGTGATGGGATGTGTAGTGCAGGAGATGGGATGTGTAGTGCAGGTGATGGGATGTGCAGTGCAGGTGATGGGATGTGTAGTGCAGGAGATGGGATGTGTAGTGCAGGTGATGGGATGTGCAGTGCAGGTGATGGGATGTGTAGTGCAGGAGATGGGATGTGTAGTGCAGGTGATGGGATGTGCAGTGCAGGTGATGGGATGTGTAGTGCAGGAGATGGGATGTGTAGTGCAGGTGATGGGATGTGCAGTGCAGGTGATGGGATGTGTAGTGCAGGAGATGGGATGTGTAGTGCAGGTGATGGGATGTGCAGTGCAGGTGATGGGATGTGTAGTGCAGGAGATGGGATGTGTAGTGCAGGTGATGGGATGTGCAGTGCAGGTGATGGGATGTGTAGTGCAGGAGATGGGATGTGTAGTGCAGGTGATGGGATGTGCAGTGCAGGTGATGGGATGTGTAGTGCAGGAGATGGGATGTGTAGTGCAGGTGATGGGATGTGCAGTGCAGGTGATGGGATGTGTAGTGCAGGTGATGGGATTTGTAGTTCAGGTGATGGGATGTGTAGTGCAGGTGTTGGGATGTGTAGTGCAGGTGATGGTATGTGTTGTGCAGGTGATGGGATGTGTGGTGCAGGTGATGGGATGTGCAGTGCAGGTGATGGGATGTGTAGTGCAGGTGATGGGATGTGTAGTGCAGGTGATGGGATGTGTAGTGCAGGTGATGGGATGTGTAGTGCAGGTGATGGGATGTGTAGTGCAGGTGATGGGATGTGTAGTGCAGGTGATGGGATGTGTAGTGCAGGTGATGGGATGAGTGGTGTAGGTATGACTGTCTGTGGCTCCTCCCACCTTTCAGCTGGACTCTTCAGGCTCTCTCCTGGATGCATAGGAAGTGACGGTCAGCTCCGCGGGGCTCCCGGGGTCCCTGGGCGCTCCGCACCGGTTCTCAGTATCCCGCACCTCCGTCTATAGTCCCCGCACTCAGCTCTCAGTCCCGGCAGCGGACGGGCTCGCTGTAACGTACGGAGTCCTCCTGTAACTCTGCCCACAGTTTGAAAAGCAGACCCCGCCCACTCCTGACAGCTGGATCCCTCCCCAGCCTGACACATCGCATTTCCTCGGGATACGCTGCGCTATGAATCTCTCTTCACTATACTGTAATACATGTAAAGAGAACCTGTACACAGAGCAACATAACACCCTCCTGTACAGAAGGCACATAACGATGGTGGAATTATAGTGAAAACAAATGTTACCATAAAACCTATAATTGTATTTTCTTTTGGATTTCCTGGGGCACCATGTGGATGATGGAAGGCAGCTGTTCTAGACCATCCCGGGTCACACACAGTTGTATGGTCCAGTGCTCCACCAATGTCTTCCCTGTTCCCTTCAGATTTGGGACACTTAGCGTTCCCAGAATCTCTCTGTCCCCAGTGATGACACGGAGAGGAAGTCCTGATGTAATAAGCGGATTGCGCCTTTTTCTGCAAAGTCTGCTTTAAAATGTAAGAGGAACTTTTGTTTTTTAGGTTGGTAGTAAAAGAACCCCAACCAGAGTCCGTCTCGGTGACAACGTCACCAGAACAATTTGGTTTAATCTCCGCAGTGAGACACAAACAGCGATTAAAAACCTGATGGGCATCCTGACCACCAATATGAGAGTTGACTGATCAAACCGGAAGACACTGATCAATCTGCAGGACACTGATCAAACCGGAAGACACTGATCAATCTGCAGGACACTGATCAATCTGCAGGACACTGATCAATCTGCAGGACACTGATCAAACCGGAAGACACTGATCAATCTGCAGGACACTGATCAATCTGCAGGACACTGATCAATCTGCAGGACACTGATCAATCTGAAGGACACTGATCAAACCGGAGGACACTGATCAATCTGCAGGACACTGATCAATCTGAAGGACACTGATCAAACCGGAGGACACTGATCAATCTGAAGGACACTGATCAATCTGAAGGACACTGATCAAACCGGAGGACACTGATCAAACCGGAGGACACTGATCAAACCGGAGGACACTGATCAAACCGGAGGACACTGATCAATCCGGAGGACACTGATCAAACCGGAGGACACTGATCAAACCGGAGGACACTGATCAAACTGGAGGACACTGATGAATCCAGAGGACACTGACCATTCTGGAGGACACTGACCATTCCGGAAGACACTGCTCAATCTAGAGGACGCTGATCAATCTGCAGGACAATGATCAAACCGGAGGACACTGATCAAACCGGAGGACACTGATCAAACCGGAGGACACCGATCAAACCGGAGGACACTGATCAAACCGGAGGACACTGATCAAACCGGAGGACATTGATCAAACCGGAGGACACTGATCAAACTGGAGGACACTGATGAATCCAGAGGACACTGACCATTCTGGAGGACACTGACCATTCCGGAAGACACTGCTCAATCTAGAGGACGCTGATCAATCCATTGGACACTGATCAAACCAGGGGACACTGATCAAACTGGAGGACACTGATCAAACTGGAAGACACTGATAAATCCAGAGGACACTGATCAAACCAGGGGACACTGATCAAACCGGAGGACACTGATCAAACTGGAGGACACTGATCAAACCAGAGGACACTGATCAATCTGGAGGACACTGATCAAACCAGAGGACACTGATCAATCTGGAGGACACTGATCAAACCAGAGGACACTGATCAATCTGGAGGACACTGATCAAACCAGGGGACACTGATCAATCCAGAGGGCACTGACCATTCCGGAAGACACTGCTCAATCTAGAGGACGCTGATCAATCCATTGGACACTGATCAAACTGGAGGACACTGATCAAACTGGAGGACACTGATAAATCCAGAGGACACTGATCAATCTGAAGGACACTGACCATTCCGGAAGACACTGATCAATCTAGAGGATAAGTGTCAATCAAGAGGACACTGATCAAACTAGAAGACACTGATCAATCCATATGACACTGATCAATCCATATGACACTGATCATTCCGGAGGACGCTGATCAATCCGGAGGACGCTGATCAATCCGGAGGACGCTGATCAATCCGGAGGACGCTGATCATTCCGGAGGACACTGATCAATCTATAGGACACTGACCATTACGGAGGACACAATGTAGAAGACAATAATCAATCAAGAGGACACTGATCAAACCGAAGGACACTGATTAAATCAGAGGCAACTGATCAATCTGGAAGACACTGATCAATCTGTTATCTTTACACCTCAACAGACTGTCATACCGAAACTTCCTCAGTACCTGACTACCCAAAATACAAGAAACAAGTCTTTCAGCGTTCATTGAACTGAGAGATTTGCACTGTGACATCTCGTTCACATCACACTTGCCACGTACACGGCTAATTATTTCCTCTATCCATGACTCCATTGTAGAATATGTATTATTATTATATAAAGTATAAGTGACAGGACAGACAGGAAGTGACGTGAACTCTGCAACAAGGGCTCAGGCAGGAATGTTAAAGCTATGTGAATGAGTGCCGGGTAATTGTCTCAAGAGTCCAGAAAAACTTTTATTGACTTCACAAATATGGCAAGAAGATATGCACAGTCAACACCATTTGGGGGTCAGGAGTCTCCCTTCATCAGGGCTGCAAAGAAATAGATGAACCCTTTCGCTGCCATATGTCACTGGCAGCGGGCCCCTCTAAACAGATTCCCTTTTCCCGATGGTCAAGGGCGATCTGCACCTGCATAGCTTCTTTACAATAGAAATAGTGACACTAGGGGTCTAATAGTCCCCTAATGTAACCTTAAAGTTCATTTCCACCTTTGCAAGTGATTCGCATTTCTTGTGGTAATGAAGAGGTGCAGTGATGATGTATACATGTGCACATTTTCATGACTCACATTTCCGGCTTTCCTCCTTTTCTTTTACAAAAAGCTTAATTATTTCATTAATTAATGCCTCAATACTGAGACATTAATGAATGACTGTTAAATGCTGAGAATCAGCAAATACCGGCATTACAAAGCCTGATATAACTCGTCACGTACAGTGTACGTGGCCAGTCATATAGGCACAAAGTGACAAGACGTACACTGTACGTCTCCCGTCACGAAGGGGTTAATGAACGTTTTTTTAGGCCTTAAGCCTAAAAACTCTAAATTTTCTCCACAGGAAAATCAATCAGACACCAGAGTCGGATGGTAATAAGGCTCTAAACAGCTTTCCCCGTCCCCGTTATGCATTGTAACATGATCGGCAAACAGCAGCTCTGTCCTTACACACAATACACTGTGGGGGGTGGGGGGGCTGAATGCTAATGAATGAGAATTAGCTTGTAAAACACAGGCAGACATGTTTAAAAGAGGAGATGAAGAGGAATGTGCACATAGTAATGTAAACACACATTGGATGCGCCTACGTGCACCATAGAGCAATCATTCTAGGGCCACTATTCTTAGTGAACTCTCGGGCCTCATTCACACGAGAAAAAGGCCGGCACGTACAGCTCCATCTGATGCCCTAGACTCACCTCAAGTGCAGGTCCGTATGGGTGTGGGCAGGTGTCCCGGCTCGGAAGCAGACAGGATCCATCCTGTCAGCGTACGAGTACGCCTGCTCACCCGCACCCTCACGGACACGCAGGAGCGTAGGGCGGCGTGCGGCCGCGTACTTCCATAGAGAAGGATAGGGGCTGCGTACCAATCACATGCAGCACCTGTCCTTCCCGGGAGCTGCCCGGTTTACACCATTTTATTCTACGGGGTCTCTGCTTTCAGGAAATCTATAACTCTCTGGGCTTTTAGGTCATTTTCAGGCCTAAAATGTGGATTATAACATGTGAGCACAAAACGCTTTGGCAGGGAAAGGGTTAATGGGAGGGGCATCCCCTCTTTTGAAGGGTCCCCCGTTATGTGAAGAGCTGCCAGAACCAAGCCATCAGGCCCAAATATTGCTTCTATTCGACTAGGAAAAGGTCTTGGTCCAGCACCTCATCCCCTCTCACTCTACGAACGGAATTTTAAAGCTGACAGCGATTCTAACCTTCCCCTTCTCTACTTTAAAAAGAATAACTTAGAGCAAGGGCGCCCACTATTTTTCGTCTAGAGATCTACTTTTCAAATGACGAGCTCATTGAGATCTACCAACGAAAAAACACCTGCATTCAGGGGCAGGAGGGGGCGTGGCGGTGTATTGAAGTCAATGGCAACGCAGCCAGGCTCTGCAGGCAGGCCCCTCGCCCACAGTGCGATCGCCTGCATTAGTGCCTGTGTTCCAGTCCAGTGCGATCCGCAAAAATTCTGCGAGCACTATTTTTGCAGATCGCACTGGACCGGAATGCAGGCACTAATGTGCCTGCGTTCCGAGCAGGGCCGGATTTACTCCACCTGCCGCCCAAAGGCCAGGTTCCACAATACGCCCTACGCCACTAGCCCCCCTCCACCATCAGTTGAGAATGGCAACCAGATGGTGGGGGGGGCGTATTGTGGAACCTGGCCTTGGGGCGGGGCTACTTTACATTTTTTTTTACTGTTTCTTTATTTTTATCACTTTTTATTTTTTTATTCATTTATTTCTTCTTATTTTTTTTTCTCCAGAGAAGCGGCGGGAGGAGAGGACATGGCGATCTACCAGTGATCGCTACGCGATCGACTGGTAGATCGCGATCGACCTTGTGGGCACCCCTGACTTAGGGCATAGGAACAGAAAATGCGTCTGCCCGAGAAGGGATTTGTATGGTAAGTAAATCTGCTCTGTTCCTATTTATTGTTTATTCTAGAACGCCCGGTTTTACCAGCGATTGAAGGAATTGGGATTCCATATAATAAAAATAAGGCTGAGCGATATTCCAAGCCACGTATGTAATGCGGACAAGTATCTCGAGTATTGCTCTTGAATATCTTACTAGCAGCTGCATGGAAGTTCAGATTCTACATGAGCACAGCCTGCTGTATAATACTATTTATATAATACCAGCCACCATGAACCATGGATGCAATGCCATAGAATCCACAGAGTGGGGAAGAT